TTCTGTCCCTGCTTCCTCTCACCTGGGCTTCTCTATGGCTCTGCCTCTCTCTGGAATGACCGTTGTCTTCATTCTGTCACTGTCCCTCTCCCTGTGACTTTTTCTGTCTCTCTGCAGATAAGTTCCATTTCTCTGGATGTTCGGCTGTTGTGTCTCCATTGAAGTCCGCCTGCTTCCTGACACTTGCTTTCTATCTAGTGCTGGCACAGTCTCTGCAAGTCTCTTTCTGTCCTACTTTGTAAGTTTCTCCCTCTCCTTCTCTCTGTCCACCGTCTCTCTGCCTGAGCTTCTTAGTCTTGGGAACTATCTCTGTGGGTCTCTGAGCCCCCAGCCCCTACAGGGGCCGACTGCCATGCCTGGACCCTTAGGGGAGTGTGTGCCCCCCAGCCTCCCCCCACCAGCATGCTGGTATATATATAAACGTATATGTGCGTATTATTTATATCTGTACCCAGGCAGGAGGGGAAGACACTGGGGCCTTTGTGTAGCCGCAGCCTGCCCGCCCGCCACTCTTCTCCCTTCGTCCCTGCCGCCCGCCTGCCCCCACTCCCCCTGCACAGAAAGGTTCCTGTGGGGCCTGCCAGCTTCCTCTGCCTGAGGTGTGAGTGGGCACGCCACGGGTGAGGCGGGCAGGAGGGCCTGGGGGTTTTTTCCAGCTCTAGGAAGCTTTCCGGGTGGGGAGGGTTCTGGAAGGAACGGGAGTTCTCAGCAGGGCTGCTGTGGGTCTGTGTGGACCTGCTGTCCCTGAGTGTCCTCGGGCCCTGAGCTGGCCTCTCCCTGGGGGTCTCTGAGCCCGTCTGTCCATCTAGATGCCATTCTGAAGTTTTCTCTGTTGGTTTGGGGTCTCACTCACGCATGCAGGCACAGTCATCGGGCATTTGTGCTGGGCTCCGTGTTGAGAACACAGAGATAAATGTCGGTCCCAGTGGGTTCTATGCCATTTCTGTCTCATTTGCTCCATCCCTTTACCCCTGCTTGAAAGCTCCCACCTGTTCCTATTAAAACAAAATTCAGGCCGGGTGCAGTGGCTCATGCCTGCAATCCTAGCACTTTGGGAGGCTAAGGCAGGCAGATCACTTGAGGTCAGGAGTTCGAGACCAGCCTGCCTAACATGGTGAAATCCCATCTCTACTAAAAATATAAACATTAGCCAGGTGTGGTGGTGGGCACCTGTAATCCCAGCTACTCAGAAGGCTGAATCAGGAGAATGGCTTGAACCCTGGAGGCGGAGGTTGCAGTGAGCTGAGATCATGTCACTGCGCTCCAGCCTGGGTGACAGAGAGCAAGACTCTGTCCCAAAAAATACAAAAAACAAAATTCAAAGTCCTTATCACAGTGTACAGGTCCTCTTACTGCTCCCCCACCACCCCTCTGATTCAATTTCCTACTACTCTCCCCCAGCACTGGTCACCTGCTTGCTTCTGGGACAAACCAAGCAGGCTCCCACCTCAGGACCTTTGCAGGTGCTATTTACACAGATTTCTGCTGGCTTACTCCCTCCCCTCCTTCAGTTCTTAGTGTCACGTGCTCAGTGAGCTCTTCCCTACATCCCTTTCTAAAATAGCAACCCTGGCTGGGCATGTTATCTCATGCTTGTAATCCCAGCACTTTGGAAGGCTGAAGCAGGCAGATCACATGAGGTCAGGAGTTTGAGATCAACCTGGCCAACATGGTCAAACCCCATCTCTAAAAAAATGCAAAAAATTACTGTCTGTCTGCTTCTCTCTCTCTCACTGCATGTGGATTTCTCTCTCTCTCACTGCATGTGGATTTCTCTGTTTCTTTCTGTCCCTGCTTCCTCTCACCTGGGCTTCTCTATGGCTCTGCCTCTCTCTGGAAT